TTAAATATAATTGACTATTTACTGCGTGATGTTCAATACCATGTTTGTCTAAACCTTTACAGTTGATCATATTATGTCTACCAATATAAAGTGTGACAATCATCACTGCACTGTGATCAATCAGTTGTAAATATCTGTCCTACAAGCTGAATTAAGTAACAACCCTAATTTTTCTTGTGTTTATAACGCATAACTGATATATTATAACATTACTGCTTGTACGCAATAACTTTATTACTATTTTTGAGTTCATATAATGTTTGGTCCACCACAATTATCTGGTAAGCCTCGAGTTTATTCTAATTGTTATATTGCTTTTCTTTTTACTTGACACATCGGTTTATTTTTCAAATAATGTATTCTCCAAACAAACTTATTGACATGGACTCTCCTCCAGTAAATGCCCTTAACCCACTATCACATTCTGACGACAATATTTTAAGTTCAGTTAACGCTATTTCTGAATTCAAACTAACAGCATGCGGAGCTAATAACCCGAGGTTCTGGTTTGCACAAATAGAGGCTTTATTCATAGCTACAGGTATATGCTCTCAGGCAACGAAGTATGCTTACGTAGTTGGTGCACTCCCTATTGAAATCGCCGCCGAAGTCGGGGGTTTAATCGACCTAGTGCCGGAGAGCGAACCTTATGACAAAATTAAAGCCACGGTAATACAACGCACATCAGTCTCCGACGAAAAAAGATTACAGCAATTGTTAACATCATGCGAATTAGGAGACAAAAGACCATCGCAGTTGTTACCGCATCTGAAGCAACTAGCAGGTCCATACAAACTAGACGAAACCCTGCTTAAATAAATGAGATGGATGGTTTGATCGTGGAGCATTACGTTTGTGCTGATGATGTCGTTCAGAAGAACGATGAAAGCTCCACGACCAAATCATTCAGCTCAGAGAACAAAACTTCATCAAAATAATAAGATTACCAATGAACATCTACTAACAACTCAATACAAATAGAATAAGTAGCTGATAATATAAAACCACACGAAATTGAACAACATAAAAATCAATTAGATCAAAGTTAACATAATAAACTTTAACTAAGAGACAAAATTTACATACTAACAGTACTCTTTGTTTCTTTCTTTAAAAAGATGAGTATTTTCTATGCCAACTTATGAATCATGCATTTATATATGCAAATTACTATTCATTTTGATTTAGCTTATAAAAGGGGTGAACTGGTTATTCTAATTCGTGTGACACAATAAATGTATATGACCTGTGTGTACTAACATCTACTGCCAATTATGCGACGTATTTTTTTTTACATAAAATGAAGGTAGCAATGATACATATCTTAAACTCCAACGTACAATGATTAAACACAAATTATCCCCGAAAACCCCGACTGTTGTTGCTACTTTGACGTGGTGGTGAGGCTTACCAATCGAGCTATATTGGCTGAAACAACTGTTCCTCAACGTCCTACCATGCCACACAGGTCAGTTGAATAGTGGTAAGACTAAAAGCAGGAAACTCAAAGTCCAAAGGCGAAGTCGTATTGCTGACTGTACAGAGGTGTGACAGCAGTGAGGTGTTTCCTTCAGACAACCAGCATGACAACGATGCTGCCTACCCACAAGGAGGGGTGGGATTAGAAAAGGTCGACCCTAAAAATGCACACCCCAACTTACCCCACGGACATCCGTCTCCGGCGGTAAGGTCTCAAGAAGTACGGAGCTAACACAAAAATTACTCATAAAAAGGTCGTGCGTGACCGACCTCAAGCAGTTGTCCCTTGAGCACTGCGGTCACGCTCTCAGGTCATTAAGACCACCTCTAACCCAATCTCTTTTTCGTGTACCTCCAGAAGAACCCTTCCACGGTGTGAGCGACCGGGAATTGATAACCACCCTCATACCTCTAACAGCACTCAAGATCACTGTATCACCGAAAACATTAGTAATAGCACACAAGACTTAATATTAGTTGCATAAAACAGCTTAATGTATACTATTCTAACCAATATTAAATAGAATATACATGATAATTATTTGTATAAAACACTAGCAATTCTAATAAGGTTTTCAATGGTGAAATTACTTATATTAATGAATACGTGTTTATCTATGATGGTTTAGAATTTATCAAATCACAAATCTGTTGCATTTAAAATGAGATACTTAACAGAGATATTGGATTGAAAAAAATAACTTAATATAATTCATACATCAAAAATTCAGATAGATGAATACAGAAACAACTTGATTAACAATATCAAGTCAATTACAAATGAGTAGTAACTCAATGATGACAACTCATCTCTTATTTTGGCATGGGTTCAGACTTCACAACGAGAGAATTGACGAGACTATAATTTATGGATGAACCAATCTGGTATAAGATAATAGGTCTTGAATTTTGGCGCGAAATTCACTCATCCATTTGGCTAAATAGCATTTTGGCATTGTAGCTTATGTCAATTCGTGATGAAAACCCTAAATCTAGTTTCTAACCTTAATCACCAACTGTAAATCATATTTCCAATTCCTCACACTGGTTTATAACCCCCATTTATTCCAGGTGGACACTCTCAAGGACAGTCTAGCATCGTCCAAAGTTCGTCCATACATTATAATCTCACCTTTTAGCCATTTTAAAACTAATCAAAGAGGATTACATTCTCAAATTTGTACACTATTATTCCCTGTATATAAAGACTTTTATTATTGTAGTTAAAATGTGAAAGGGTCAACTATCCAACTAAAATGAATGACTAAAAATCAGTATAGTGTATTGGAAACACAACTGTATATTCTCTTTGAATATTTATGTCATTTCATTCTTCACTTTGACTTTAGATTCAAAATGTGTTCAAGAATACAACAACTGCAAAATATAACACAACTAAGCAATACTCAAGAGAACTTGATTTACGGTCAACTTTTTATAATGAACCTGTAAAGTAAGTATATAACAATGGCTTAGAACAGTTCATAATAACGCAGACACATTCACTTATTGTCTTCTTCTAGATTTGAAGTTCCAATCTTCATCCATACATACTTTTTCTTTCCTCATCCTCAAGCTATATTACTTCGATACTTTTCCAATCATCGTGTTAATTTTATTTTGTCCCCCTAAAGGTCTACGTTTATTGTGATTGACTGGGAGTAATATGGCTAGTAGTAAGAACAGAGAATTACAAAGTGAAGGAATCCAATTATAAACACAGTGCTTTTGAATGGTGAGAGATGTGTTTGTGTAGTTGTCACTTCTCTGGTGCCGATACAGTAAAAATACACCTCTTCTTGGAGGCTATCTCCCAGTTTTGGCGGCCTGTTAGAATATCTGGGCTATCTGTTGCTATCATCTAGATATTTCAACAACTTATCGGTTTTTGCTTGTTTGAACACATCATTATGTTTATTAATCGCACAAGTTATTAAGGTGTGTTTATGAAAAGTTTACGACCTTTCACTATCCGACTTACAAAGAAGTACAATCAGAGATATCGTGATGGCTGGCAGGCAATATACATTTGAAAAAAAATGAGCATTATTCAAATGTCCAATCTTGAACTGCGATCACTCAATATTTATCGTCATGATTGATCAAGAAATAAGAAAAGGAACCTTTTTGAAATGCTTTGTGCTAAGAATTCTATACTGTACCAAAAATATAATATTGAATAAAGCCATAATAATAATAGTAAAAGAAACTGAATTAGCAGTGGTCTTTTGGGCCTGGGAGTGTGACCCTAGAGTCCATACAACAACTGCTTGAAGTTAGTTACACACGATCTAACCATCAGTGATAAAAATCCGAGGAGTAAAGTATGCTGTGTTTAGAGCCGACCTTTTCTACCTCCTCCACCTTCCATCATGGCAAGATAAAGTCTCCAAAGAAACACTGTACTGCCGTGAAACCCCCCTATAAGATTGACAGTACAACTTCTCCCTCGAACCATGAATCTTACCCAATAAATATTGAGAAATATCTATTTCAAAGAAGCACTCAACAACAAACGATATGCAAACAAAAAAATATAGAGAAAGAAACAGTAACTAAATATATAATTTATTTATCTTTATATTGTAAGATAAAGCTGTTCTAAAGGAGTACAGAAAAACAAACAAACAAACAACCCAGTCACAATGAATGAATATAATGAACAAATCAGATACAAATTAAAATTATACATTTAAGGGTAAAATAATGATATAACTAAATAATTAAAGAAAAAAACAAACAATGATTACATAAGTTGTATATCTTCATTACACTATATGGTATAGAGAAGATGAATATGTGTAGAATTCAAATGTTCATCTGTATTCAACACAAACACACACACACAAACGAACAAACAAACTACCTTTCCTTTTTTTGTTATAGGCAAGTAAATATATTAGATAAATTAGTTGGTGAAGAGGTTTTGTTGGAAACACAGAAATAAGTAATACAGCACAAAAAATAAAACGACGATAATAATAATAATAATAATAATAATAATAATAATAATAATAATAATAATAGTAATAATAATTGTAATCATAATAAGGATAAACAGTACGCATAGAGTACGACTACAAGGTCTTCTTTTCTTTTTTGAAGTGTCAATCAGAATAAGAAATTAAGTGACATGTGAAAATAAAAGCAAATATTCATATCCTGTATCATGTTAATAATAATAATAATAATAATAATAATAATAATAATAATAATAATAATAACAGCAGTCGGCGTACAAATGAGCTAATACTCTTGCCAATCTGAATGTGAGAATACTTAAGGGTCAATGCCAAAAATGGCATAGATACAAACATGAGCACGTGCATACTTGCATACACACACACAGACACACGTACAAACATATGCCACTTGATAAGGAAGAGAAATAAAAAGCAAGCAAACAAACAAATAAATGTTTTTAAAAGAAAACAGTACTGAGATGAGACTGTTACTGACGCTGAAAACCACAAGATAGGGAACGAGGTGAACAAACGCAGATGTGATTCAATCACAAGGAATTAGCTAAAACAAAAAAAGCGTGTAAGAATAACGAAATTAGTCGTCATCAATATAAACAAACAAATAATATATCATTACTAAACGGATTTATGAGGAGACTATTGGATTTTATACCTTAACATCATGGATTGTTTTTAGTAAGGAAGTATTGGGAAGTTGGTTAGTATTAGTATAAGACACCTTAACAGTACACATCCAAGATAAGATTGTGGATTGAGTCCACAACTATCAGGTCTTGCGGAGATTGTCAAACATTTAGACCACTGAGTTGGCATCTAACAGGTTTACATGTTTAAGCTCAACCAAACTTCAATCGTGTTGGTAGGTAAAGAACTGTTTCATAGACAATATGGTTAAACTACATTGGTCACGGCTTTGCAGTAGAAGTCCAGGAGAATTTTCTTTTCAACAAAATCATTTACCTAAGCCAAATTCCCTTTATTTAAACTAGATGATATAATGAGTTAATTTAATCATCTGAAGAACTCTAGGAAGTACTCTAGACAAAAAACATGGGATAGTTCACAAGTATACACTATCATGTCATATGTGGTTTAATATACTCAGTACGACAAATAAACTAAATAATAGCTTTAAACCAAAGTTCTGGCAGCGACCGTGTTTAAGAGTACTTCTAATCATTAGAATATTGTTTTAAACTCGATTCCATCTATTTCCGTTTAGGATATTAAGCAAAAGCTGACAGACAAACCAGTGTCCTTCAAATAAAATTGTGCTTTCAACAACAGTTGTAAACTTGTGTATTAATTAAAACATATCACTGAACTACATATGTATGCAATAATTACCAGATTTGTTTAACATCGATCACTAGTTGGATTTTGTTTTAACAACGTAGTTCGTTCTTCTTCACGACGACGTTTAGCTTGAGTACGTTCATAAATCAATATTATAATACCAAGTACCACCAATTCAGCTATAATTCCAATAAAAGGCCATAAAGGAGCCAATTTACCTGTGAAATTTGAAAAAGATAAAATTAAAATGATAATTGTAGAAGCACGGAATAAAACGGTACTACTACTACAATTACTACATATGTTCTACAAATGTCGTCCCAGAGAATTCCAAGTCGTGCATTATTTGCCGACTCTGAGACTGGTTGGAAGAAGCGGAGAGGTGGTCAGTGCATGACATTGTGTCGTTGTATAAAAGAAGGCTGCAAAGAACTGGCTTCTGTCGGTCCTTCACGACTCCCTGGTTGGGGTCCGAGAGATGGTGCTACACAGTGGCTAGAGACGTTATCAGATATGGCTCAGAATAGAAGCCACTGGCGATCCTGCTGTAACCTTCTTTTACTTTCTTCATAAAAAGTGGTTGTGTCTCCCTTAACTGAAAGATTTCTTCTGATTGTACCTTTCCGTTCCCTCAAATAAATAAATAAATAACTACTCAATTCATTGGTTTTGTTCTGAATAAATAGTCCGAATTCAGTCAACCATCTACAATGTAGGACCAGGCATATATATGCATTAGTCTAAGTTACCATACCTAATTAGCGCGACAATATGTACACCGAATTCATAGAAGCAGTTAGTTTAATGGTAGAAATATGTGTAAATAAAGATTGCATACAAGGATATAATACAGGGAGAAAGAATTAGTTCGTAGAAAGATAGGTATAAAGTAATTTTAATCTCACGGTTTAAGAGAAAACAAGTAGTGTATACACCTACGTCACTGTGATCGATTCTGAGCCATGTTACCCAGAGTCTTCATCACATCTTGTAAAGTGTGAATATTGGACAAATATAATTGACAATATATCCTTGACAAGGTATGTATAATTAAAATGAACAAAAAGATTATTCATATTGACAAGTGTACACTTTGTTTAGATTTCAAAAAGAATTCTATTTCAAGTGCTTCCTATACAATTTAAGGTATAATCATCTCGATTGATGAAGTGGTGAAACTTCATCAGTTGAGATGGCTGGGACACGTGTTACGTATGCCCAACGACCGACTGCCTCGACGTGCTATACTCAATGGTATAGGAGTAGGTTGGAAGAAAGCTAGGGGCGGCCAGACCAAAACATGGCACAAATCCATGGAGTTACTGACAAGTGGACTGAATCATGTTGGTAGGTGTAGACTACGTAGTTCGGGACCGCGAGATGATAGCAACCGATGGTCAGAGACCTTGAATGACATGGCTCAAAATCATTTGCAATGGCGCAAGTGCATCCAGTCTGTGTTCTCCCAAATTCTAATCTTCTCAATTCTTCATGTCCCTTTATTTCTCTTTCCAAATTTATTTCACTATATTATACTCCTTGGAAAATATCTTTCGGATTACTGTTTATAATTTTACTACCTCTACCACCATCTCTGTGCTAATGTGGTATGGCAACTTGAACTGATATACGTACGTACGAAGTTCTACGTTGTTACTAACTGACTGACTGACTAAGGTATAATCTGTATAGAAATTGGTAATTTATTTCAAAAAATTTTATTTAGTGAAACATGTTTGTTATAATTCTGAGAAATATGTGATATTATGTCAGAAGAGAAATACATTTGATTATAGTGGAAATCCTATCGTTAAAATTATCTATTTATGTCTTTGAGTATATCTCGATTTATCATTGTCTTGTGAAGGGAAGTATCAAATGGAGAGTTTTTGAGTGGTGCTTAATACAAACATGTATAACTCATTTTAGTGAAATCATGAACCGATCAATGTTAAACCAACATTGAAAACCTGAATGCACTGGACGACCGTTTTGTCAGAATATCAAACCACTCAACGACACGCATCCACCATCTTACACGTGTCAATCCAAACCACAACATTCGGTCTTGAGTGAACGCTCAAACTCTAGACCAATGAACCAGTATCTAATGGTGTCAATGTTTAACATCAACTAATTCATGATGTCGCGCGATCATCTTCCATTGTCTTCGGTGAATAAATGCTTCACACCCGACACGGCTGTACTCCATTGGTTACGGCTTCTCATTAGAAATCCAAGAATGAAGTCTCGAAGCTGGTTCATAAATTCAATGAATTTAAACAATCTCCACAACCTCAAATTGAAGAATATCTCACTTCGTTAGTTGAATTGTATGAACATTCTTCGGTTAAAGAATAAATTGCTATTCCTCATTATTGAAATTTGTAGAAGTACTCGCACTTTGTCACATTTTCCTTCGGTAGTTTAATGTGTTAGTTCTTAATTATACACATAAATCGAAGAGCTGACTAAAAATATACACACGCAGATGGATTCACTTAAAAACTTGTTTCTTGTAGCTACTTATCACAACACATAGTACAAAAAACCATCGACATCGATATGTTATCAACTCCGGTATTATACTTAACTGTCTTGACACGTTGAAACACCTATGATTCATTTTACTCTCATCAAACTATTGAAATGAATAACATGATCAAGTGTAAGTGAGACTATCTCATAAAAAAGACGACACTTATCTGCTCCCAGTTCAGACGTTTAGAACGATGGGAGGAACATTTTAAGCAGCAGTTCAGCTGGCCTTCAGCTACTCTACAACTACCCACCATTCCCAAACGGCCTGAATGGAACATTGAAGTAGGTCCCACAACTGTAGCTGAAGTCCAAAAGGCTATAGCTAATCTGAAACCAGGAAGAGCAGCTGGTTCAAATGCATCAGCTCCAGTAGTTTTTAAGTATAGTGGTCCAATTTTAGATATTAGGTTGACTAATATTTTGACTATAATCTGGGAGTTGGACGTAATTCCATCTGAATGGCCACAATCACCCATCGTCCCAATATGTAAGAGAGGGTCAAAATCATCTTGTGATAACCATAGAGGGATTAGTTTGACTAACATAGAATCTAAAATACTAGCATCAACAATTATCGGACGCCTAACTAAGACTCGTGAACTGCAAACACGAGAAAATCACGCTGGCTTCAGACCTGATCGTGGCTGCATCGACCACATATTCATCATTCGTCAGGTTTTAGAACACACACATGCTTATCGGTGTGCGGCAATGTTAGTTTTTCCTGAATTAAAAATAGCATTTGACACGGTAGACCGAGATGTTTTTGACAGTGTCTGTCATTGAAAGACGTACCTCAGAAGTACATGAACCTTGTGAGGGCTCTGTACTCGAACACTACTAGTCTAATCAGAGCTTATGGCAAACTGTCACCTCAAGTGTTGTTCGTCAAGGCTGTCCACTTTCTCCATTTTTGTTTAACTTCATCATAGACATACTGATGGAAATAACGCTCTCGTCGACTAAATTCTCGGGTATTGATCTCCATCCAGGAGGTCCACTTATCGACTTAGAATACGCAGATGACATAGTCTTGTTTGGTGAAGACTGACAACATGCAAAGTCTTCTGGTAGCACTAAGCAACAATGCCAGAACGTTTAGAATGCGCTTCTCTCAATCTAAATGCAGGACTGGTCTCTGTCAACACCTGAACTAAGGATAGGAAGTGAGGCAGTCAAACGCGTTGACAACTTTACTTATCTTGGAATTGTGACAAGCCCTAATCGGTTGGTGTCTGACGAAATCTCAGCACCGATTTGAAAATCACGTTTAGCTTTTGCCAACTTACGTCATCTATGGCGAAGGCGGTATATCCATCTATTAATTAAGAGATGAGTATACTGCGCGGCAGTTCATTTTGTTTTAATTTACGGCAGCAAAACGTGGCCATTAAGAGTTGAAGATACTCGTAAGCTACTAATATTTGACCACAGATGCCTTAGAAATATTACTCGTATCTGCTCGGATCCCCGGGTAAGTAATAGTGAGGTTAGACACAAGGTATTAGGGTAAACATTTACTACACGGCCATTTTTGTATTTTTTTTGAGTGAAATTTTTTTCCACCCTTTTAAAAAAAATTTTCATCCATATCTTACAATAATTTTCATTCTGTTTCGTTCAATCAAATAACTAGTTTTAATTTCGTTTTAATTGGTCGTTTATTTCTTAAAATCGATATAAAGTATGAGGATTTGACGACAGAGCACATTTTCTTACAATTATGGCCGGTAATAACATGCAAAGTACGAGCTCCGTCGTTCCTCACGTTGTCACAGAAACCGATAACCTATTCTTGAGCACATTGTATCTCGTAGCGTTCCAATCTCTTGAAGAGTTGAATAGCGCCATTAGAACGTATGAAAGAGCCACGTACAGCCATTATGTGGTGAGAGATTCTCATTTACATAGAGATCGGAAGTCGTATATTAAATTCGTATGTTGGAGAAATGGCCGTAGAACATCTAGCGGTTCCTCACAGCCGAGTAGACGAACGAGATAATTTGATCAGTGTTATTATAATTTTTCATAAAGGACTTTCGTAAACACTCAATGTCCTTCCTTCATCTTTTGTAAGTTCATTGAAGGTTACTGGACTGTTGTTCGTGGGAATGTGCATCACAATCACGAGTGCAATTCCCTAAGGTACCAAAGTAATTATTGGATGCCCAGGTTAACGGTGGTGGAATTCGAAACAGTGAGACCACTTTTGATATCTGGGACAGCAGCATTCAATATTATACACTTTGTTTACCAATCTTATAGAAAGTGTACAAATCCTCAAGATGTTTTTAATATACGCCACAAAGTGTTCTCACAAGCCAACCTTCCTGGTAAGCAATGTGCTTATCTAAATTGTCAACGTTAGGTGATTACTCCCAATTGAAAGATCACATCATGTCGCTTGGTGGCCTCTGTGAATACCACTTAGATGGAGATAACTGTCTGTTGTATTTCTTCTTCACAACAACAGATCAAATGAGTTTATCAAGTCGATTTTTTGATGTTGTTGGTTTTGATGGGACCTACAAAACCAATAAGGAAAATTTATATTTGTATCAGGTTGTAGCACTTGATATGAATTTCATGGCAATACCTGTTTGTATTGCATTCATTAGTTCCGAAACATCTAGTTTAATTGCTCATTTCCTGTCGTTCTTCCGCCGATCAACTAGCAACCGAGAGGTGGTAGGCATTGTAACAGATGATTCACCTGCAATAGCTACTGCCATTATGCAGGTGTATCCCGATTCCCACCACATTTTGTGTCGCGTACACATAATTCGTAATGTGTTAAGGAGGGTAAGTTTTTCGTTGCTTAACATGAAGCCATTAATCGTCATTGTAGAGGCTACGAGCAGAAACTGTACAACTTTTCTTCCGTCTGATGTTCACTAGAAATGTCGAAAGGTGAATTAAAATATGCATTACAGTCTTTTGTAGTTTCCATAGTTATCTTCCATTAATTGAAGCATCAGACGGAAATTTTTACCGATATGTGAGAGATCACATGTTGCCTAAAAAGCACAAGTGGTCAAATGCTTTTCGACCCGCAGCGATGCTCTTGGGACAAAGTAATACGAATTTCGTTGAGATAACTCATCGCATTCTTAAATTACATAAGCTGAACAGAAGAATACCCGTGTTGAGATCAATATTCAGTGTGCTTCTTCGCACTGGATATTGGATCGATGCGCGAATGCAGAAGTATTATTGTGATTGTCGTAATAAAACAATAATCGATCGGCAGCCAGTAATATGTCGTCTTCGGGAAAGACTTACACCAGCTGCATGTCAATTACTGAAGCGGCATTTGCGCACTCCTATCACTGAGGTTGTAATGTCCGTGGACTTGTCAACGGCTGTTGATGGTACAGGCACTTATACAGTCTGCAGTAATCCACTCAATTGTTCATGTGCTTTTTACATTGAAAACCGAATACCTTGTCGTCATATTTTAGCCTACTGCATACGCAGTAATAATGAAGTGAATACTCAGATAATTAGTGATAGATGGTTGCAATCGGACAGGTACATTACCAGTGTTGCGATCGACAATACCTCCCCTGTTCAAATAAGACAGACAAGTGTAAGAAGATCGCTGTATGCCTTACTTAGGCGTATGTCCGAAGAGCAATGTACAATGGTGTATAATAATACATATCAACTTGTTTACGGTAGGATACCTCCAGCACCGTCCACCTTACCTGCTGTTGCAGAGTTTCAGATAGAAACCTCTACTTCAACTAATGTTACAATGCCGTCGATCCATCAGACAGCAGTTACCAGCTATCAATATAACGTTGCTATGGATGAAACGTTAAGCAATGACGAGGAAGAAATTGTTTCGATGATCTCAGAGGAGTTTGCTGAACTAGATGACGACAATGACGAAAACGCGCATGACAACAGACTTTGTGATATTTGCAATCTTGCGCAACCGACACATGAAACGTTTCATCCATAGCAACGTTATGTTGATAGCTGGTAACTGCTGTCTGATGGATCGACGGCATTGTAACATTAGTTGAAGTAGAGGTTTCTATCTGAAACTCTGCAACAGCAGGTAAGGTGGACGGTGCTGGAGGTATCCTACCGTAAACAAGTTGATATGTATTATTATACACCATTGTACATTGCTCTTCGGACATACGCCTAAGTAAGGCATACAGCGATCTTCTTACACTTGTCTGTCTTATTTGAACAGGGGAGGTATTGTCGATCGCAACACTGGTAATGTACCTGTCCGATTGCAACCATCTATCACTAATTATCTGAGTATTCACTTCATTATTACTGCGTATGCAGTAGGCTAAAATATGACGACAAGGTATTCGGTTTTCAATGTAAAAAGCACATGAACAATTGAGTGGATTACTGCAGACTGTATAAGTGCCTGTACCATCAACAGCCGTTGACAAGTCCACGGACATTACAACCTCAGTGATAGGAGTGCGCAAATGCCGCTTCAGTAATTGACATGCAGCTGGTGTAAGTCTTTCCCGAAGACGACATATTACTGGCTGCCGATCGATTATTGTTTTATTACGACAATCACAATAATACTTCTGCATTCGCGCATCGATCCAATATCCAGTGCGAAGAAGCACACTGAATATTGATCTCAACACGGGTATTCTTCTGTTCAGCTTATGTAATTTAAGAATGCGATGAGTTATCTCAACGAAATTCGTATTACTTTGTCCCAAGAGCATCGCTGCGGGTCGAAAAGCATTTGACCACTTGTGCTTTTTAGGCAACATGTGATCTCTCACATATCGGTAAAAATTTCCGTCTGATGCTTCAATTAATGGAAGATAACTATGGAAACTACAAAAGACTGTAATGCATATTTTAATTCACCTTTCGACATTTCTAGTGAACATCAGACGGAAGAAAAGTTGTACAGTTTCTGCTCGTAGCCTCTACAATGACGATTAATGGCTTCATGTTAAGCAACGAAAAACTTACCCTCCTTAACACATTACGAATTATGTGTACGCGACACAAAATGTGGTGGGAATCGGGATACACCTGCATAATGGCAGTAGCTATTGCAGGTGAATCATCTGTTACAATGCCTACCACCTCTCGGTTGCTAGTTGATCGGCGGAAGAACGACAGGAAATGAGCAATTAAACTAGATGTTTCGGAACTAATGAATGCAATACAAACAGGTATTGCCATGAAATTCATATCAAGTGCTACAACCTGATACAAATATAAATTTTCCTTATTGGTTTTGTAGGTCCCATCAAAACCAACAACATCAAAAAATCGACTTGATAAACTCATTTGATCTGCTGTTGTGAAGAAGAAATACAACAGACAGTTATCTCCATCTAAGTGGTATTCACAGAGGCCACCAAGCGACATGATGTGATCTTTCAATTGGGAGTAATCACCTAACGTTGACAATTTAGATAAGCACATTGCTTACCAGGAAGGTTGGCTTGTGAGAACACTTTGTGGCGTATATTAAAAACATCTTGAGGATTTGTACACTTTCTATAAGATTGGTAAACAAAGTGTATAATATTGAATGCTGCTGTCCCAGATATCAAAAGTGGTCTCACTGTTTCGAATTCCACCACCGTTAACCTGGGCATCCAATAATTACTTTGGTACCTTAGGGAATTGCACTCGTGATTGTGATGCACATTCCCACGAACAACAGTCCAGTAACCTTCAATGAACTTACAAAAGATGAAGGAAGGACATTGAGTGTTTACGAAAGTCCTTTATGAAAAATTATAATAACACTGATCAAATTATCTCGTTCGTCTACTCGGCTGTGAGGAACCGCTAGATGTTCTACGGCCATTTCTCCAACATACGAATTTAATATACGACTTCCGATCTCTATGTAAATGAGAATCTCTCACCACATAATGGCTGTACGTGGCTCTTTCATACGTTCTAATGGCGCTATTCAACTCTTCAAGAGATTGGAACGCTACGAGATACAATGTGCTCAAGAATAGGTTATCGGTTTCTGTGACAACGTGAGGAACGACGGAGCTCGTACTTTGCATGTTATTACCGGCCATAATTGTAAGAAAATGTGCTCTGTCGTCAAATCCTCATACTTTATATCGATTTTAAGAAATAAACGACCAATTAAAACGAAATTAAAACTAGTTATTTGATTGAACGAAACAGAATGAAAATTATTGGAAGATCGGGATGAAAAAAAATTTCACTCAAAAAAAATACAAAAATGGCCGTGCAGTAAATGCTTACCCGTGTTGCGTATGCCTGAATACCGATTACCACGACTTCAATACTGGCTAGTGTTGGGAATGGTTGGTAGTTAGGGGCGGCTAGACCAAAACACGGCATCAGTGCTTGAAGTCACTAACTTCTAGTGTGAGCCATGTTGGGAGATGCAGACTACTTGGTTGGGGTCCGCGTGACTATTGTAACCGATGGTTGGAGACTCTGGGTGACATGGCTCAGAATCGATCACAATGGCGTCGGTGTATACACTTTCTGTCTTCTCGTAAACTAAGAGATTAAAATCGCTTCATATATTTCTTTCTACGAACCAATTCTTTCTTCTTGTACTATATCTCTATATGCAATCTTTTATATATTACCACCACTGAATTAACCACTTCTATGAGTCCGGTGTTCATCTTGCTGTGCTAAAGAGGTATGGAAACTTGATCCGATGCACATATGTGCCTGGTCCTACGTTGTAGCTGACTGACTGACTGAGCGTACTGATAATGGTGAAAATAATGGTATGATGATAAACACTTAAATATTTGTATATTGAAAATATATAAATCATTCAGTCCTTACTTTTGATACGAACTTCCAACAATAAACTGTCTGATCCTAATGTTGATGTTGCTGTGCACATATAAAATCCAGTAGCATCTGAAGCATCAGTCCATTCCATAATAGCATCTTTAGTGCTCTCATGTGGTTTGAACATAGCCTGGAGAATAAAATAACATTCCAACAAAATATAAAAATTACTAAACATTACAAACCACAATGATAACAACAAAGATTGTTTGCATTGAACGACAACAAAATTCTAACTATTCTACAAATCTTTATTCATTATGATTCTCATTTCACTTCTTCACCAAATGGAAAAACTTTTCTTCAAATTAACAAAGTATAAAAATAATAAAATGAGAAACTGAGGACAAATATACATATTTTTTTAACGGCTATCCAATGCTTCCATATTTTCGATGGTGATCTAACATCGATCGGTTCATGACTTCAATAATAACTCAAAAATCTCCGCAACACTACGCTGATTGTAAATATCAGTTGATTGCTAATAATGGTATGGAGTTTCAAGATATAGATGTTCAGAATTGTTGACGAGTCTCAAATAGGACGAAATGCCCCTCTTGTATTCCCCTTCTAAGCCACTATCCATATCTGCTTATAATGCTTGTGACTTAACAGAATATCGAAGCAAACAGCACAGGATGCACATACGTCGAAAGAGACTGATTATTAGCAGTCTTAAACATTAATGGGAAGATTCGAACAACCAATATAAATGAATACAGGATTTAGTTCAAAAAGGAGGAATACAATAAAGCGGTGAAATAAATGACTGAATATTGAAATACAAGATTTGGATGTTTATTATATTTTATTATTAAGTATATTTTGTCACTTCATCAAATTTATCGATGAATTTTATCATGTAGTTTAGTAAGTACCCAGAGGTTTGTGCACTCCCTGAACACTTTGTCAATCACTCGTGAAAGCCATTAATACCTAAAAATATTTTGCTAAACGTGTGGAATTCGATTCTGTATGACTAAACGATTGATACTTAATTACGTGAAACAAGTGAGTCACAGACATTATTAATGAGGTGTATGCTACTTATCTGTCGACATAAGTAGTATGTAACACCAATTAGAAGTGGAACGCCTGGCAGCAGAAGGTTGAGAAGATCGAATTGAAGAGAACAGGAATGTAAACAGAGAGTAATTGTAATAGCAATAGGAATGGAGGAGCCATAAGGTTTGTAAGAGACAACTAATGATAGATGTGCAAACGAAGTTCTTAATGTATAGTTTTCATGTTTTACGAAGACATTCCGTAATTTTGTGTTAAACAATAAACTGGTCTTCCCCACCTGACTGTTTCTTCACTACACTACCACTAACATAAACTGAAACTATCTCGTTCATGGAGAAAATTCATTCTTCAAAAAGAGTACACAATTACAAAGAAAGAGAAGGTTCATTTTCTGAATATTATAGTAATGTCTACATGAATGAATTAAAAAGTAACTCAGTGAGTCAGTAAAAGTAGAATAAAATTGTGTTTCTGGTGGTATGAAGTTATAGCACTTTTAAATTAACTCCTCGTAACTCCACAACTAAACACAAATGTGTTAATGATTAACATCATAAAGCCAAATTTAGAGAATTGAAGATAAAAGAGTATAATCTAGCTTACTTTTTACCTCAGTAAAATTTAAGTATTGGAAAGTGATAAGAATAGTGTCCATCTCCTCTTTATAAATAAAACTCACATTGCTAACAGAAACTAGCCTATTCTTAGTCGAATCATCTTCATTTTCAATTACACGTCTCCAAACAACTTGATTTGGTTCTGGGAAGCCATCAACTTCACAGAGAACAGATAATGGATTGCCTTCGTGACCACGAACAGCCCCAAATCTCGAGCGAATTACAGGTTGAGCTAAAGAGTGATCAAAGTGAGAAAATATCTAGTGTGAAAAGGAATATTATTATAGCAATCTAAGTGGAATTATGCATTACAAAAGCTTGCTTTCTTTCCGCCGTTAATATTCAAAAGTGAAGCGGTTAGACTATGCTGGTCAATTCAGTTTTGAAAAGTGGATTAATGAGATTCGAAGGTTTAAAACGTTTGTTGAATTTAAGATACTATGAAATATATGCATAAGTAAACGAATAGGAAATGGAGTTTGGTGTCATCAGACACATCGATAAAGTGCAGAATCTCTAGTAAAACTTTTGGGGGCTGGCAATAATCACGCAGTCTTGAGTGTTGTTAGAGGTATAAAGGTGGTTATTACTTCCAAGTTGCACACACCGTGGAAGGGTTCTCCTGGAGGTCCTTGAAAAGAAAATTAGATCATAAACCTTTACTTTACAATATAGTTAGCTATACAGGATATACCAGGAGTGGATTTTACTCAAAAATAGAGAATTTAACCCAGCAAAAAACTACTTGAAAAGTTGGAAATTCATAAAATTAATACCAGAGATCTTTTATGTATATTGCCATCAATGCAAAATTTGGTTTATGTGTATATGTATTACCATAACCAGTTTTGAGAGCTTAGTACATGAGAAACTTTTATGTTAATTTGATTGAAGATATGTAAAGACCAAGCTTATTGACAAATTTGATTTTGATGCGTTAACATCGTACAGCAGCTTGAGTTGAAACATATTTATATTTGGCCCTATGTTGATCATGACAAACTGAAATCCTGTCTTGTATACACGTGACCAAATGATATGGTTAAGCCCATTAAATATCCAGATACTGTCAGAAAACGATTTCAAAAACCTCACGAAAATCGAAATAAAGTCAGGAAAGCTTTTTAGATTCGATTTGTCAACACTTAACAAACTAGTGATAAACTAGTGAGTTCTACGCCTATTATGCTCTAATTTATTCCAACAATAACCAGAAAATCGTCTAATGATTTATTAGTCAGTTATAAACAATATAGAAGCTGGTATACATGCGCATCGGTCAAGGTTTATATACGACATCAGGAGAGTGGGATGAAATTATCAAGATGAACGGTAGCAGAAGTACCAATGATGGTGAAAAAAATGAATCAGCGGAATAAAAGGTATAAAACAATTTTGAAACTCAAGATCTAAGGGAAGACGAAGATTGAATGCACCTGCGCCACACTAACTAATCATCGGTCGTATTATCCAACGTTTCCAACCAAGCAAGTCTATTAACTTGGCTGTGGAAAACATCTAAACGATTAAGATGAGTTATCAGAAGTAATACGAAATATAAAAGCTAAAACGTAAAACTTACACGAAATATAACAAAATCCAACATGTTTAGAATTATCCTTTGCATTTACTGTAAGAATCCAGGTCCCAGCAACACGGGAGGCTATATGTATTAAAGATTATGAGTACTTGTCGTCTTAAATGATTACTTGGCGCTTTCATATGTAATGTAATAGTAAAACCTGAGCTAACTTTCTCAGTTGAATAATATATATCTTGATTATCATTGTCACCAATATTGATCGATACATTATTGTACGTCCAATCAATTGATTCGATCTACATTATCAATACTAAGTTATACATATATTCAGATTTCAAACTTCTATCGGCTTTCGCTCAGCAATCACATTAAAAACTAAATTTACTGGGGTGGTTTTCCTGACGGTTGCTTTCTTATAAGATATTCCATGCGACTGGATGTTCTCAAAGTCAACTTCAAGTTTCACACGGCTTCCACAATCAACTGAAGCAAGATTTTGCAAAAGAAAAATGAAATTGTTGGAAATATACAAACAGCTGAAAGTAGTTTAAGGAGAATGAACAAATGAAGAACAATAAAGTATATTATAGACTAAAATGTTGTTTACATTAGACATCTGAAAAATGTTTAAATGATGATGCAACACTAGTGCATAACTGCCCATTGTTCTGATGTTTTTGCAACACCATATCTAGATATTCTTAACTACTTCTGAAGAAGAATTAGTAAAGGAGGCAGATATCTATGTGAGACCTATTTCATTTCACTGGATTAAAAAACAAAAATAATTGATAAGTAGGTACTGTGTAACTGATTCATGTGTTTCTAAGTGATTTCATAAGCTTAAAAGCCGTACGCCAGTCGGACGTCTCTCAGCTTTGTGTAGTAGAACAATCGTGAATTTTGACGATTATCTGTGGCCTAAACTAGGTAGATATATGGAAATCAAATCGACAAAGAACCCAAGATGGTATACATGCAAATTAAAATAGTATTAAGTATGATGTATATGTTTGGAGCAGACAGACTAAAACACTTGAACTCTCAAATATAGAACTGCAAACCTGAACACCCCCATTCACTTACTAAGGTTAGGATAAATGGACAAAAACACTAACACCTTTACGCAGTGTAGATGGGGGTTAGTAGAACAACATACCAGATCGTGGTGAATAAACAGGAACAGGAAACTGGTCATATAAAACAGCAGTTAGAAGATAGTTGAAGGCAGTCAGTCAGTCAGTCAGCTACAACGTAGGACCAGGCACATATGTGCATCGGTCCAGGTTGCCATACCTCATTAGCACAACAAGATGAACACCGGATTCATAGGAGTGGTTAGGTCAAAGGTTGCAATAAGGATATAGTATAGGAAGGAAGAATTAGTTCGTAGAAAGAAATATATGAAGTGATTTTAATCTCTTAGTTTAAGGGAAGACAAAGAGTGTATACACCGACGCCATTGTGATCGATTCTGAGCCATGTCACCAAGAGTCTCCAACCATTGGTTACGAAAGTCACGCGGACCCCAACCAAGTAGTCTGCATCTACTCGAATTTACATTTCAGTAGCATTATTTTGATGGACCATCGTTTATTGGCATCAAAGACTGTTGAAAGCGGACAGTTAATGAATGGTGTAGGTGTATAGCATAGCGAATAGTCTTGATAAGTGATATGTAGTTAATATTAACAGACTACTTGGAGAGCCATTCGATGTCCGTATCCGGCTCAACTCTGAGGAAACGGAAATACTGTGGTTAGTCTTACTTTAAAGGTGGGAAACTGATAACTTGTACATCGATAAGTCAGTTATGAACGACCCAGAATTTGATAAATGTATCTGCGTCACCAGACTATGACTTTCAGCTAATTACCATTCCGTTAACTTCCTAGAAATGTCAGGGTTTTGGAAAAAGGCTATTGACGAAAACTAAGATAGAGCCAAACGACTTATAACTATTTGAATGTGGCGTTTATACCGGTTATACTTAGTTAACATTACAAACAGACGGTTGATCGATTAACTGATCATCGTCCATGAATTTTGCTGAAGTTCAATCATTTCCTAATAACATACAATGAAACGTTAGGGCAAAGTCCCCCATACAGAGTAAGAGATGAGTAAGAAATGAGGATACCAAGGGAATAATGCCTCCTAAGACATGGTTATGGATTGACTCTGTGTTCATTTTATGACAATAAACTATCGAAACTGTTTGCACTACAGGTGTCCTTTATTTCAGCAGTACCTAATACATAATTGGGATCAGCGACCAGGACAGATACATGAAATATCAGCACTGAGTAGTGAACTTTGAAAATAATCATCAGGTAAGGAGTTGGATTGATCTTTGACTAGAAATATCACCCATAAGCAAATGCATTGGCTCTTGATTAAAAATGGCATATCGTGAGTTACAAATGCGTATCTGTTTAAGGAAGTAACTACTTTATTCATGTTCCAATCTATCACAGCGTACTCTGAATCAGCAGAAACGAAAAACAATGTTTCATATATTTATCGATATAATTTTATCTATTAATCTTAAACAAAAGCTCTTCCTGCAATTTCACTCGCTAGAAAAATGGTGCACATAAAACTTTTATGGAAGTGACACCGATATTTCATAGGACGAATCAACAACCAATGACGAGAATCACGACGATTTGAACTTTGATAACTATTTTGCCTTCCTCACTGCATTCCATCTAGCAAATACTCATAAAATGCTAAACCAACTCATTTAAGCTATATTTTAATGCAAGAAATCAAGAACTTACTTCTAGCATTCACTACAGCAAGAAATAATGACACCAAACAAACGTCAACTCTCATTTTGCCAATATTTAGACTACGCGCACAGATGAGGCAATGTCCAATGATTGAGATGAAGGATCTAAAGATACAAGACGTTCCGTTTCACTTTGACAATATAGTTGAAAAGATGAAGTCCTATAGTAGTTATAAAGGTTTATGACACTCAACTATTAAAGATATTTTCAATTTTTTATGAAACCATAGGGAAGGTATATAGTGAATTTATACAATAATTAATACCAATATTTATTATTGGAGTTCTTTTCCATTAGCTGTGATATTTTCTATGTAGAACCTGAAATAGTCTTATTGTAGCAACGCTTAATCCATTAGTAAGCCAAGAAATGTCTGAATATTTTGTCCCAAATATCTGGAAATTATGCAGTGTCGATTACTATGTTAAGCTCACGTAACTTATTCTAGATTCAGAATAGGCTAATCATTTCATTGATCTTGAGTCAAATATTGGTTTTGGTAATTATTTTCTTATCAACCATGACTGTCTTTACGTAAGCGTATGTGTGCACTTCTTATCCTATTCATCACATGTCTGTGACTTATTTTTGCTGGACCATGAATATCGATTCACGCTTGGTTAAATCGAGCCGGATCATTCACCTTCTCGACTGTGTGTCGTAATGTTTTGTCCCCTTCTCTTCGCTTTCTTCGCTTCGTCTCCCATTGTCTGTTCTGATCAACGATCGTACGAAATATGTACTGACTCACTTTGATCACGAGAACACGACTGGTTTAATGAAAACAATCATTATTTTAACCAACTGTACCAGTGCTTGTTTTAACGTGATTTTGTTTAACTGTGCCAATTACGGCCATTTTGTGCTTCCATTACCTTCCATCATTGTTCCGCGGTTTTTAGCTTCGTTCGCACGTACTCCACTTTCCTGTTTTCGCTTGTACCATTTCTTAGCACGATCTTGGTATTCGTTCGACACCACGGGATCGCCAACCCTCGCCTTCTGATTTCTTTGGCACGTGTTTCTTGGTAGCGGTGTTCATAGTCAATTGGGACTCGACACCACGCTACAAATATACAAATTCAAACTTCATTCTCGCATTTGAATTATTTGATTCCGTTATTCACTAACGCAATTTTAGTCGATGATATATACGAGGATATTCAGGATGCATATTTTGGCAACGACCATTCATACGATCTAATATGGGTCAGCTTTTTGGCTATTAAAATTAACTTGCATGTCACAGTCTTGCTTTGAAGGACGAATCCAGACAACACTGGGGTTAGTTAACAACACGTGGTTCATTTCGAACCTTTCGTGGGGGTTTATTTGCCACATCATTACCCACAACTACAAATGTTCAACCATTGTGTAATACCCTAAAATTAAGTCGTCTCCCTTTCATTATTGTTAGTAACCGATTAAAATTCTATTCTTCCTGATGAATCGAAGATGCATATATCTTTCAGTGGTCGCAACATATATCTGGATTCGTACTAGTCAGTAATTTTAAATACGTATTGTCGGGTTTGAGTGCCACACGTTTTTTTACTAGTCCATTTGGTATAGGGAATGAGTTTAATGGGACGATTGGATCGGCTTTTAAATTTGTCTTATCTAAATATTTCGTCAAGTAGTGCTACGTATTCAGTTTCGCGACTTTCTGAAACCAAACTCATTTACTAGAAGTGTACAACCAACTACACCAGTTTTCTGAGCCTACTTTTGCGTTTGTTATACTTAAAGTCTGTAATAACAGTGGTTAACGGACTAATAGTTGGCCGTAAGCATCTTAGTAATGTGCATTATGGCTCAAATATTCGTTCGCCTCCTTATATTGTATAGGTATTGTATTTGCCATTATATCCAATGTCGAAAAACCTAATGAGTTTGAGACAGATAGCTCCGTGCTCCATTAGTACTGTTCTATGATCAAAATAAAAACCTATTCACCACTGGTTCGGTTTATTCCACTGACAGGACGATGGGGGCTCACCGGCACGAAATTGAGGACACCGATGGGGTTAAAGTTTTGGGATTAAGCCAAAAGGCATGAGGAAGAAGTCAAGCTATAGGTTCTTACCCACAAGTTTTATATGAACGAGATTTTTTTACAGGCACTTGAACTTCCGCAATTTTTGTGCTTGTATATAGCCTTAGCCCAGTTTATTAGTAGTTTCGCGTAGTTGTGATTCACTACCTGGGAGAATGTTAAGTCAAGTTAAATGTTGTTATTTGTATCAATCTGAACTCAGGCAAGTGAAATGCGTTATTTACCAAGTCATAGATAGACTATAAACAAACTTTTGTACAAAAGTGAGCTCTAAATATCCTTAACATGTAATATATAACCCCAAATGATGCTGATAAACAAGGATGCCTGTTAGTTGTTTGGTAGATGCACGTTGAAGCAAGTTTGCGTAGAATTATTTTTTAACATCATACAAGTCTCTAATATACAAACATAAACAATTCTGATTATTAAAACTATCATCATTTCATCCGAAACTGTTATATTGTTATGTAACTTATTGTGATGATCAAAAGTATTTGAATTATTGTACGAACTACGAATCCCAGAAATAACGCAGTTAAGTCCGAATAGGACTAGATGAGCACAAATGAACGTATTGTACTTGGACTTCAAAACCAGACAGCCACCAAGTACAAAGGAATCATTAGTTCATAAAAACATCACAATCGTCACAGCTCAAATGAGAATTCAAATTTCGTAAGTCGATTATACCTCTTCTGCTTAGGTTCATCATGTGTCTGTCCGACTGTGTATTGAATGTCGACTCTGTATGACGTAGAATATACTCAGTAGTATTAGATTTAACAACTGAAATTGGAATGAACTCACCTGGGTTCTGGAACTAAATGTGATCAACATGTCGGCTGTGTACTAAAATTATTGATATCTATAATTTTAACCTTTGATTTTACGTCAATATCCTCCCTTCATGAAATAATTTTGAATCTTTATGTCCCAGTTTTCATTATCTCCCCACATCTCACGCTTTGAGTATCATACGTGAGTATTTGGGAACGCACACTTACATATCATTTGAGGCATTCCTTCATGTGAATTTGACTTGCATATAAAATATGGTACATATTCCTTTTGCTTCTCACGTTAGAATACATAAGACCATTGTTCCAGTTATCAGATAAATATTGGTAGATATGTAAAATTAACACATGTGATTCGTCTGGCTTGATTCACCTGCAAAACAATCAAATGGAAGTTATGCGTCTACCTCATACTCATTAGAATAAACTTGGACTCGGTTTGAATTTCCTATCTGTGGAAACTTCATATCTGGGCAAACCGGTTCTCCGATTGCTTCGAGAAAACTTGCTATTCCCTCTAATTCATCATAACAGTGACTAGGAAATCTACTCGACATACACTATTTGTGCGAGTATCCAACATCCGATACAATATCATCGGAAAGGTAACTAGTACTCGGCTCATTCGAAACATATCTGTCACATTCATTGTTGATATCATTAGAGACAAAACTATTGTGGGGACAAATAACACCTGATGAGACACCATAAGGACTGTGATACGATTTTAGCTAATTTAGAGCTTGTTCCTCACACTGAGACACGATTTCACTAGAAATAAATTAATCAGTAAGGCAAACCACACCCGATAGAAGAATGTCAGAGTTCTGATCAGGATTTGGTGAACTCCAAACATCCTTCACATATTTGTGAATGATTTTATTAGAAATACATGAGTCATTAAGACAATGCATATTTAGTAAAATAATATCATAAACCCGAACACTGTTATTCACTCGTAACATTCAACTTGATGTAACGGAAAAAGAACGATGAAATCCCTATGCAGCTTCTTTGTTGAATAGTATTGTCTTTTATTTGTTCCTTTTCCCTGTTGTGTATTTTAACCTTTGTTCAGATCTCGTTTAACCACATTTTTTGTTCTTCAGTCTTCCTCGTTTGAGCTTTATTATGTGATTTTGATTAAAGATTTATCTTTTGTTACCTAATTTTCTATTACATGTTGCCGGACCATTGACAGTAAGGTCGTGTTTGACTAAGCACAAGGTCACGGCGTGGCTCAGTGTATGACTGTTAATCTTCTGACTGTCTGCTTGGGAGGATTGCTGGAATCCCTGCAGATAGGTATTTGATCCCATCTTGTTGGGAATATTTGTACTGATTCTCAGGTATCGAACCCTTTGGCATTAACTGTTATATTGAGCACAGAGTTTGTGTTTTAATATAATATAATACGAGTATCTCAAAAACGCGTTGTGAGCTATACAGAGGAACGTGGTCTGGTCTAATCGAATAAATTTAGGGTTCGTCAGTCCGTTGTTCCAATCGATTATTGGTTATTCGGTCGCAACACTTAATAGGATCGAAACTACAAATTTTAACATTACTTGAAGAGAACTGAATGGTAGTATTAAAAACTGTTTATGTGCTCAATTTTACCACCTTTAAAGCATTTAGCATTACAAAATTATAGTGTTTCGAATTATTTGAATTATAGCACGAACTAAAAATCCCCAAAATAACGCAACTGAATCAAGAAGTACGACACAAACACGAACGAATGTATTGTATTTAGAATTCGAAATCGAGCATTCAACAAGTACAATGTTATCATTAGTTCGTTCAAACACTACATCCGCCACAGCTTAAATTGGAGTCTAGGTGTTTGTAATCAATCGTACGTCTTCTTCTTAAATTCATCCTGAGTCTGTTTGACATTGTATTGTATAACTCTATATTTTCTAGAATGCACTCATTAGTATTAGAATTAACAACCGGAATTGAAGCTGACTCACCTGGTTCCTGAAATTGTATTTGATCAACATATCGACTGTGTGTACTTAAGTCATTGATGTCTAGAACTCGCACCATCGATTTTCTGACATCCTTCAGAACAATACCCGTAGATGGTCGAAGATCATTTCCTCGATAGTATGTAACTTCTGCAGACTCCAAACATCTCATGTTCGACCGAAGAATTCTTCCTTTCAATAGTTTCGCTGGAGT